GGTATTGAACACACCACTATAAAATGATTCAAGGAAACAGCACATGGCCAGGAGGCATCATAAGGGCAGCTATTAGAAATGAAAAATGCATTCTTTTGAAAAGTCTAAGCTGTACCTACATATAGACAAAGAAACACAAGTTCTCCAAGTTATAAGGGTACAGATAAAAAAAAATCAATACACTCTTGTTTAAAAGGTATTAATTACTAATATAATGAGTTTTGGCATCTTTTCAGAGGTAAGCAGCTGGATATATACAATCTGTAGAGCCACCACATGCTGTACAGGATAAAGGAATAGCAAGAGAGATAACATTTAAAAAGAAGATTTGGCATTTGTCAGATTTATTTGTCATCAATTCCCCTAGACAGAGATCAGTTTATATTCTCCCTTTCACACTGGAGACTGAAAACTGTTTTCCAGCTATTCAACCATTAACAAATGCTGAATTAGTAGAAGTTTCTAGGTAGCAGAGGAATCACATCATCCCATGCAAAATGCTTAGCAGCTCTTTGTGCATCTGCAATTGTCCTAGAACACAGGAACAATGGAGAAACACTCACCTTTTCTCTGTCTTTGCTGACTGTGAGCAACTGACTGATCTATTCCCAGGAATTCTTGCAGGAGTTGTTATCATGGAAGGTGTTCCTTCAAGTGAAATGGATTTTGGCTTTGGTGTCTTGACTCCCTCCCCTTTCTCAGGCTGTGCATCTTTGCAGGGTGGCTTGATGTTTTCTAGTTCAACAGGAAGAGTCATAGGATTACACAGCATACATTAAAAAAAAAAATAAAAATCAAAGAATCATTAGAAACCACCAAAAGGATCCACCAGCTTTGCTTTCAGAATAATTTTAAAAATGAAAAGTGTCTACACTGAGAAAAACAAGCAATAGTGAAAATTTTACATCTTGATAGCACAAGATGACTTTTCTCAATGCTCAGAGGAGTAATTTTTGATTGCACCAAAATCCTTTTCAAGGTGCTGGGCTGCACCTCAGAGGCTGATGCCCCACAAATGGAAAGAACCAGGCAATTCCCACTGCAGTTAGCTCAGGACTGCTCACCTGCTGTGCTTGGCTGAAACACAGATTTCCTTGTGCTCAGGACTGGTTTGCGGGGCAGACTTCGCTTCTTTATCCGTTCCATCAAAGATCCAAAACTCTCATCTGAGCTGTCTGACTCCAGCCCTGCACCACGTCCTAGGGCCACAGTTGGCAATTTATTTTCTGTATTTTCACAGCTTCTTTCTTTCCTTCTAACAAGCAAATCTGGACTGCCTTTGAAAAGTGACTGGTTCTGATTTTGTGGAGGTGAAAGGTTTATGCACTTCTGACTCTCCCTCGAGTCTTTCACTCCCTCTTTTTGGTGGTTATGCCACGGGCTGTCTACAAAGACAGAATCTTCAGTGTCACTTGAAGTGTCTGGATACTGCAATTCTTGGCAGCAAGTGCTTCTCTTTCCAGGAGTCATCAGCTTTTTCGGGGTCTGAAGATCTTTCCGTGCTGCAATTCAAAAGAAAGAGCTTGAAGTTTTGGGAGCTGCATTTAGGAGATTTGCCTTTGTCTTAACACAGAATAAATCCCTTGAAAGACAGGAAAACACAAAGAACAGTAAAGCATCTCATCTTTTTTTTTTATTATAGATGATTGCTTACCACTCTTGGTTGTACTCTTTTTCACCTTCAAGTCCAAGAAGAAATCATCCGAGTCATCAATGAAGTCTTTCAAACTGTAAAGGGAAAAAAAGGCAAATTGTGTGGAATAAAGGTAGGAGTAGCAGAAAAATAGAGCAGTAAGTGTGCCTTACTAAAACAGCAACCCAAAAAAAGCCACCCAATATAACATTATCAGCTGCTCACAGCAAATGTCACCAACTGCATCCATGAATAGGAAGAACATGTGAACTTCCAAATATCCCTTTTTACATTTGCCCTGAACATGATTGAAGATGTTAACAGGTCTGTCTGCACTCTCGCCTAGATTGGCCTATGAATCAATACAACTTTAAATTGTTTTCTTCTATTCTGATTAAATATGTAAAATGTAAATATTATACAGAACACTAAGATGTGAACACAGAAAATTCATTCATGACAGCACCCACCTTGTATCTGCCTTTTTAGGAACAGATTTGGGAGTTTTCAGTCTAGCTAAAACTGAAATAAAAGAAGATAAATTAAGAACAAGGTTTTGTGTCTCTTGTTATGCATTTTTAAAAGTTTGCAACTAGTAAAAATTTGGTCTAAAGTACTTTCAAAAAACAAACATAATTATATTTACACATAATTTCAACTCTCAATTCCTCAAAGCTGGCAGCAGCTTTGTAGTCTCTGGAGACTAAAAAGGAAGCAAGTGAGTGACAGGGAACAGACAAAACTGAGGCAATAAGAAAAACATAATGCAAGGCAAAAAGAGTGAAACCTGAGGCAATTCAAGAACACTCCCTGTGGCACTGACACCGAGACTGCACTGCAAGGAGAGAATTACTGTGTAGCACAAGCAATGAAAGAAAGTAACATGTAAAAATGCTTAATGTAATTAGACAGAAACGTGTCCTTTTCACACTCCTTCATAACACAAACCAAGGGGTCATTACTTACACATTTCAAATTCGTCATCGCTGCTGGAAGACAAGTACAGGGCACTGCTGCAAAAATGAAATGCAGAACTTTAGGTCACAGCAGGATCTGCATCTCCACTGGTGTGAAACACCCATGAACACAGATCCAAATATACATTGGGAAAAACACTGAAAGTCCCAAATGGGCTGAATTATTTTAACTCTTTATAGAAAGCTCGTTTCTTGTCTTACACGTGGCCTATGAGCTGTCAGAGCACATGTTATAGTAATCCTGAAACCCCAGCCCAGGCACTGATGAGTAAGAAGCTGCTTTTGCATAAAGTGCACTTCAATAGAGCTGCCATGAATATTTAGCAAAATGCAGCAGCTGTCATACTGATATTTCAAGAGGCAGAATGGAGGCATTACCACCTGGACTGCTATGCCCATGCAAATGTAGAGGCAGCCCACAACATCCTTACCAAGTCATTTATTTCATTTTAGGAGAACATGAACCAAACATGAACAACTTCAAAAATAAGTGATGCAGCTGCTTAACAAACCAGGAAGACAGCTTTTTTAAATGGACATTACTTCAACCCTAAAGATTGCAATTCTGAAACACACAAATACCTACCAATCACCATGAAACAAACGAGGGTGTAATCTAGAATTATAAATCTATCTATCTATATATATATATATATATAATACATACTACATGCAATGTAGTATGGTGTATTTATACATAAGTGCATGCATAATATGTATATATATATTCACCTACATATATGTACATATATGTGAAGCAGAGTAGAAATTTTCCAAAGTAGAAATCCATTTTGATTTAAGTGAAATGCACATCTTTAAGTAAAGTCTGTAGCTTGCTGTGTAGTCTGCCTGCCTGCCTATTCTCATGAAGGGCTCGTGCTTAAATTGCTTCAGCCAAAAGACAAGAGAGAAGAAAAGAGCAGAGCACAGCAACCTGACACAAGAGCTCTTTCTAAGATAAAGAAGAATTAGTAGCAAGTATCACGCAAAATCAGTAGAATAAATATGTAGAAACCTGTTGTAAAATTGCGTGCCTATGTATTTAAGAAAGAGACCAAAAAAGATCTGAAGTTCCCAGAAGTACACGTTCATTTTATAAGGATTCCCACATGCGTCCAGCGCTGTAAGAAACATACCAACTTTACAACTTCCACAAAAGTTGTACAGTTTGTTTGTTTCTGCAAATCATATGTACTTAGAGATGTATATATGTGTATGTATATGTATGTAGTTTAAATAGCTATATAT